CTACAGAGCTATAGTTCTGAAAACAGCCTGGTATTGACATAAAAATAGACAGGTAGACCAATGGAATCGAATTGAAAATCCTGATATTAACCCACACACCTATGAACACCTGATTTTCGACAAAACATCTAAAATTATACAATGGGGCGAGGACAGCATCTTCAACAAATGGTGCTATCTTGCTTTCCTATTGGCCAACAGTGCTTTACTCATTAACCAATAAGAGAAACATATTTACAGAATGACACCTCCCATCAGAGTAAGGCTTCTTGTATCTTAAGCTTATGGTAGAAAGCCTAAGACAAAGAGAGGGCTGTCTGTAGTGGAGGCTTCCTTTGTAGCAGCATGTTCTCATGGTTCTAAACTAGTTCTATGAAAGACAGGGATTATTAGTTTATTTATGAGAGATCTAACTCCCTAACTCAGAAACCTCCTGTTAGGTCCCACATCCAGTGTCCCAGTAGTCCAAATATTGATGTCAATTTTAGTGGGAAAATGCACAGAGGAAGCCGTTAATAGAGGTAGAAGAGAAAAATTGGTATAGGTATGTAGATCAAACAGTGGGTGGAGAAAGAAGTCCTTGGTATATTATTTGTATCTTCACTGATTTTCAATTTTGGCTGTTTAGCTCCTTTAGATAGGTCCTTGGGATATAAGATGGTGCTTGTTAAGTTTTGAGTTAAGAACAAGGAGACAACTTTCAGTGGTATACAGATCAAAACACTTGACAGTTGTGGACCACTGTAGTTCAAGCATTAAATATGATGCTTTTGTCTATATTTGATGTAGCTTCCTTAGCTATTACTATGTGATCGTATTATAACTACCAATGTTCTGTGGGTTATAATACTGATTCATACAAATCCCCAATACACAATGTGGCTTCTCAAGGATAGTTACTAACATCTTACTGACTCCCAAGCTTTGACATTGCTTTGAGGCTAGGGAGGATTGCACAGCTTTAGACAATAGTCTAATGAGAAACTGAGGCAAATAGTTGATAGTTTTGTTTGTATTATCTGGCACAATTATACTAGCTATTACCTCAGATAGTAAAAACAGAGGGGTGATGGGAGATGTTATTCTGTAAATATGTTTCTCTTATTGGTTAATGAGTAAAGCCCTGTTGGCCAATAGGAAAGCAAGATAGACGGGACTAGGAGACAAGGAGGATTTTGGGAGATGTAGGCCCTGAGAGAAGACCATATGGAAGCACTTAAATTGATATAAATGATTTAATATTTAAGACAGAGCTAGCCTATAAGAAGCTCTAGCCACTGGCTAACAGCTTTATAGCTAATAGAGTCTTTGTGTATTAGTTTGGGAGTGATGTGACTCTGGGACCAGACTGGCAGAAAACTGCTCATAACAAAATGGTGCCCAAAGAGGGTACTAAGAACTTCTACTTAAAACTTAGCAAAAGCTTAAAAAGGGATTTTAGAAATAAAAGAACAGATACAGGAAAGGCTTCTTTAGGTAGCAGCATTTTTCTCGTTTGGGCTCTGTTTTGATAGAGACAAGCAGAGACTGGCACAGCTCCTTTAAGGAAGGTTTCCTGACTCAGCATAATCAGGAAAAAACAAAAACAAACAAACAAACAAAAAAACAAAACAAAAAACCTCAGGGCACTTTTAAGAGGCCCTGATACCAAACCTGAATGTTGTGTATGAGCAGCTGGCTAAAGGGCTAATACAGCTGATGTTTCAATTTTAGCAATGCTGTTTAGCAGATAAAAGTCTCGTGGCTAGAAAAAGGTAAAGACAGATTAAGATAAAGAAAAACCACTAAAATTTATGGTGTGTTTTAAAATATACATAAGCTTGGGAAAGAAAAGAAACAGGATAAAGTGTTTTAAAAGAAAGAATAAAAGGAAGGAAGGAAGCAAGAGAGAGAGAGAGAGAGAGAGAGAGAGAGAGAGAGAGAGAGAGAGAGAGAAAGAAAGGAAGAAAGAAAGGAAGAAAGAAAGAAGAAGTGGCTGGGTGGTGGTCGCACACGTCTTTAATTCCAGCATTCAGGAGGCAGAAGCAAGCAGATCTCTATGATTTCAAAGCAAACCTGGTATACAGAGTGAATTTCAGGAGGGACAAAAGTTCACAGAAAAGCTCTGTCTCAAAAAATGAAAACAATAGAAGTAAAAGAAATAGAGTAATAAAAAAAGCCACATGAAGATGGAAAATGCACAGAGAGTCTGGATACTGTATGCTATTGTGTTGTCTTTGAATTTCTCAATTGCTAAAGATGGAACAACAACTGCTAAAATACATTTGATTATGCTGCTGAATTAATCCAACTTATGTATTTTAAAAATGGCTTCACTTCAAAATTTAAGTCTAAGCACAGGTTACTGGGGAAAAGATGTGTGATTCTTGTACGAGGCAGAAAAATGGATTCTCTCTTAGTATCTATTCTGTTAGCTTGTGTCTTTTTATAGGCCAGTTATGACCATTAATATTGAAGGAAATTAAAAACCATTGATTGTTAATTCTAGTTTTTTTTTTTGGTGGTGGTATTGTGAGTATTATTTATCCTGCTTTTTTCTTTTGGCTTGTGGTAAAGTGGGATTATCTATTGCCTATGTCTTTATGGGTATATTTAACTACCTTTGGTTGGAGTTTTCCTTCCAGAACTTTCTGTAGGGCTGGAGTTGTGGATATGTATTGGGTAAATCTTGTTTGTCATGTAATATCTTGTTTTCAGCATCTATAGTGATTGAGAATTTTGCTGGGTATAGTAGTCTGGGCTGGCATTCATTGTCTCTTAGTGTTTATAGAACATCTATCCAGGACCTTCTGGCTTTCAGAGTTCCTATGGAGAAGTCAGGTGTTATTCTGATGATCTGCTTTTATATGTTACTTCTCCTTTTTCCTTCGCTGCTCTTAATATTCTTTCTTTATTCTGTATGCTAGGTGTTTTGATTATTATATGTCAAGGGGTCTTTTTTCTTTGGTCCAGCCTATTTGGGGTTCTGTATGCTTCTTGTACTTTCATGGGCATGTCCTTCTTCAGACTGGGAAAGTTTTCCTCAATGATTTTGTTGAATATATTTTCTGCGCCTTTGAGCTGTGCTTCTTAACCTTCATCTAGGCCTATTATTCTTAGGTTTGGCCTTTTCATGGTGTTCCACATTTCCTGGATATTTTGTGTTAAGGATTTGTTGGATTTAAAATTTTCTTTGGTCTATAAATCTATTTCCTCTAGCTTATCTTCAGCGCCTGAGCTTCTCTCTTTGATTCCTTATATTCTGTTGGTTTTACTTGCATCTGTAGTTCCTGATCATTTGCCCAGATTTTCTATTTCCAGCATTCCCTCAGTTTGCAGTTCTTTCTATCTTTTCTTTTCTTTTTTTATTGTCTCTGTTTCAGTTTTCAGGTCTTCAATTGTTCTAATTGTTTCCTTCACTTGTTTGATCTTTTTTCTTGACTTTCCTTGCTTTCTTTAAGAGATTTGTTGATTTGTTACATTTTTTGCTTGGTCTTCTCCTTTATTTCTTCCAGTTTTTTGTTTGTTTTTTCTTTCATATCTTTATGGGATTTTCTGATATCCTCTTTGACTTCTATCATTTTCATGATGTTTAAGGCAGGTCTTTTTGGTGTAGAGTCCCTAGTTTCTGGTGTTGTCTTACTGCTCTTCTGTTGTTGAATCTGTTCTTGTACTGCTGTCTTCCCATCCCCTCTTCCAGTGGGTGCTGTTGGGGGTCTCACTCTCTACCAACCTCTTCCAGCGACTATAGGTGGTTCAGGACTTCGATGCGTAGGAGTGCCAAGATTGAGATGAGTACAGGCTCTGGATGGTCCAGCATGGCAGGAGGGGTTGACCAAGTGCAGATCTGAACCAGGAAGTTCCAAGGAGTGGATGGGGGGTGTTGGACCTGAGCGGGTCAAACACTCATCTCAAGCAGAGGGCTTAGGAGAGCCCAAACTGAGAGAAGGGTGGGCTATAGATGGTCCATCACGTTAGAGCAGGTCTCTTCAGGCAGAGGGCATGGGGGGCTCAAGATGCTGAGTAGACCAAGGAAGTTACAAGGAAAGGTTGGGGGAGGACTGGACCTGAGCTGGCCCTAGACTCAACTCAAGCAGAGGACATAGTGGCGCCAAGACTGAATTTAGGACAGGCTTAGAATGGTCTGGTGTGGTGGGGTGGATCCTGGGAAATGCATTCTTATTCTAGATCTGTATTATTGTATCACTCAGAATTTTTTTTAATCTGGGGAACTCCTGTGTCTACTCAAGCCTTCCAATATTTTGGAAAACTGTTTAACTATAGCAAAGTAAGAAACAAAGTGATTTTCAGGTCTTAATATTACATATTTTTTTTTTGCAATGATATAGAGTGAACTAAACCAAAGTCCTCTGTGATGTGAAAGATCAAATATGTGATTCAGAGAAATAGAATAGAGACATAAGAAACTATCTGTAAAAATATTTTTTTACAGATAAATATTTTTATTTTTATTCTATTTTATGGTATGAGTGTTTTCCCTGTATGTATATCTGTGTTCTGAATGTATGCCTGAGGCCACAGAAGCCACAAGAGGGTATCTGATCCCCTGGAACTGGAGTTATAGATAGTTGCGAACCACCCTGTGGTTACTGGGGATTGAACATGGGTCCTCTAGAATAGAACCTTAAGCACAATGTCATCTCTTTAGCCTCATGAGAGACCATTTTAACCTTTTATATTACAAGAGGAAACAGGGCTTTAGGGGAATTTAAGAATTTATCCAGTCATGCAGCTAGCCAAGGATAGCGGTGTAGCAGTTACTTCAGTTTCCTGGTGACTGGCCTAGAGGAGCGTTGTTGCTGCCTTTTGCTCTCAGGAGGATTCTGGTATGTTCAGAAGAAACATATATTGGGAACAAATATTTTTGACCTTGATTAGCTTGGGAATGCCAAGTAACTGGCTGGACACTAGAGAAACTAATTTTAAATCCTTCTAAACTTCTTTCCCTTTGTTTTCTATCCTTTTGCTGGTCCCCTTCCTCTGTATTGTGGCTCTTACAGGTCTCTCCAAGTTGCTGTCTAAGATGAGAAACACAGAAATGTGGCATTTCTATGTGAGCAGAGTTGGATTTCTTTTCCTGGTTAGTATTCTTCCTTTAACAACTGGCCAAGGGGAATCAAGACGACAAGAACCAGGGGACTTTGTGAAGCAAGATATTGGCGGGTAAGAAAACTTAATGCTTGGAAGAAAATAAGAATACTATGAATGATTTCTTTCACATTTCCCTGAAAAAGGCCTAAAATACTCTGATCGCCAGTAGTTATATATTGCAGTGCATTTGGAAAACAAATCATCAGATTAGACTGTTATTGTTATTGTTGGACAATTCTCCACACCACTCTAAAGACCATATTGTGTTGTCATGAAAGCAAGTCTCTCCAGTCCTTTATTAATTTTATCTTCTCTCTTTTAGAGTCTTCAATTTACCCCTTTTGGGGATCATGTCTATTTAACATTGAAACATGATTGTAAATTTAAATAACTTTTTTACTGAAAGTTCCTCAAGTCTCCTCACTTTTACATCCATACTTCTTCAAAGAATAGTATCCTTATCATACATTTCTCTCACACATTCTTATACTTCTTGATGTCAGAATTCTAAGTACAGGCCTCTAAGGCAGCCCCTATAACTAAGATGGTTAATGTTAACTCTGTTGTTCAAATGAGCAATCAAACACTCATATTACTCAGTTTCTTTGAAAACAAGTAGCAATATTCAGTTGATTTTCTTCTTTAACTTCTTTCTATCTTGAAATAAAACATGCATATATAAACATGCATAAATACACCCATAGAATAAATATAATTCTTTCTTTGACTTAACTTTGGCACACTTCTTTGGTTTTAGGACAGGTTCTCTAACTGAGTAGGAGCACTTCCCAAAGTCTCCAGGCAGCAAGATACAGAAATGGGTAAATTAAAAGGTATATGGTAAAGTTGTTATCCACATTTATGTTTGACACATTCACTTATGTATTCCACAAACATCTCAAAATAAGTTTGTGTAAAATATCTCCTCTACCTCTCACTCTTTCACCAACAGAAAACACAATAAAACATCCCTTTTCACTTTTTCATATTTGAGTTCATAATACTATCATTTACCTAGTGGTTTAAGCCAGAATATTATAATTATCTTTGCCAATTTTCTACCTTTCCTCTCCAAATTGTAACAGTTACCAAAATTTGCCCTTTTTACTCTCTATGTCTCTTGGATCATTTTCTTTTCCTTCTACTTGCCAGTTTACTTCCACTTGGACTCCAGCAATAGCTTTTAGATAGCTTACTGCCTAAAATTTTGCTTCTATTCATCTCTGTTCTATAGCTATTTTCTTCTATAATGTGTATTAAAAATATGTATTAAAGAATTTAATGCTATGTTCTCCTCTTGAGTGTAAATTCAGAACTGATAAACATGTTATAAGGCCTTTACTCACCTTGTTAACCTTATATTTTAGTTCTCCTTCCACGGAACTGTTTTTCAACATTCTTTACCTTCTTTTAATTTCAGGTTTATTAATTTATTCCTAGTGACATAAAACATTTTTTAAATTTTATTTTAATTTTCAAATGTTTTAGTTATAATTACATCACTTTCTCCTTTCCAGCCTCTCCCAAGAACCTTCACTCCAACTACTTCCACATCCCTCTCTCAAATTGGTAGCCTATTCTTCCCTATTGGTGTGTGTGTGTGTGTGTGTGTGTGTGTGTGTGTGTGCGCACATATTTAAATACAGCCTTCTTAGTCCATTTTTATTTTTTGTTTGTATATGGTTTTAGGGTTAACCATTTTGTGTTGGCACCCAATTAGGTGGTTCATCACTGGGAGATGCTAATTCTCCCTCTCTCAGAAATCTTGAGTTACTTAGTAGTTCTTTGTTCAGGATTATGTGCCTCTGAGATTCTGTTCTCTTTCTGCATTATCATGTCCATTGATAGTGCTAATTTAGTCTTGTTTATATAGCTATTTCTAGGATATACTGTTTCACAACAGACTTCCTAGTATTCTGGATCTTGCTATCTTTTTTATTATTATTTATTTTTCTTATTTTACATATTGATCCCAGTTTCCTCTCCCTCCCTCTCTCCCTCCTCCCCTCCTTCTCTTCCTCACTCTAATGCCCCATGACCACCCTCCCATTCCATCCCCCCCATACTCTTATCTTCCCTTCTTCGTGATGTTTCCTGATACATACCAAACTCTTATATGTGGATTACCACTGTTAGACATGACTCCTTAGGCTTGGAATACTTTAGTATTATCTTAATATTATTTTATTGGAAGCAATTATTTAAATAACCTTCTTTTGGTTTTTCTTTTGCTTTGTTTTTTTTTTTACTTTACAATTTTATTAGCACATATTTAAAGGAATTATTTATGACATTCTTTTACATGTATATATTTTGCTTATACTCACCTCCCTTACTCTCTCTTGCTCCTTTTCATGTTTTCTTACTTGTTACTTTGCTCTTTATGAATTGAATCTCTTCTTTCATGTATCATTTTTAAAATCTGAATCCCATATATAAAAGAAAATAACTAATATTTATATTTCTAATTCTGAGTTACAAGTATTTTATTCCTTGGTATTGACTATTTGTCTAATATTCTTGGAAATAGAATTTGGTCTATTTTGAGGTTGATTATTTTAATATATTCTGTCTCTTTTATCAGCATTTTACAGTAATCTGTGGGATTGAGGGATATAGAATTAGAGTTGTATTCTTAGTATTTTGATATATTCATGGTTCCAATATGGAAAACTTAACCAATTCTGTCTTATTAATGCTTTGAGACTGGGCTAAGATAGGTGTTCTAAATATGGTAGAGACTCTAATAAAAGAATAAACCTCATATCTTTGAGTCTTGAAGCTTTTACACTTGGAGGATGAAGTTTCAAAAAATGCATTACACATGTTCCTATCATCTTAAAGATTTTGAACAGAATAGTTCTTTTTCTTGGTAAACTTTTGTTTTCAGAAATAGCATGTATTATATTTCTCCCACAGCTGCTTTTTATTTTTATCCTTAGTGTTGTCACCTTTCCTGTTTATATTGTTTTCTAACATCCTGCTTGAGCTTAGAAAAACAGATATTCAAGCATTTTAACTATTATGTTAAACAGAGGAAAAGAAATCTTCAAACAGCAGAGTAAATTGTTTGGTTTTATACCAAGTCCAAAATGATTGCATATCTCTTGAATTAGAGACCTTTTTAAAATTCATTTTCAAGTAAAAAATAATAATTCATTGGCTCTGGACATTAAGTTTGGCATTCTTCATATTGACTAGATATAAATGAATTGATGCAAGTTAAAAAAATATGCTGTATATTGACAGTTCTCATACTTAAAAGGGATATTGCATCCTCTTGTTTGTTTTCATATCATCTTAATTATGTTTTTTGAAAAAAATCTATTTGCTGTATCACTTCATTGTTTATTTTACTAAATCTCCTGTGCTGGATATTCTAGCAGCTTTGACATCATCAATGGTCTATTGACTAGTGCTTAACTTAAATTGTATGTTAAAATCGGTAGTTCTCAGTGTTTGGTGTTTGCAAGTCAGAATGTGTGCTTTACAGAAGGCTGTAATATGAAAACTTGGAGCTCACTGGCTAACAATTTGTATTTGATCAGATGCTTCAGATCATTCTAATGTATGGAATACTTTGGGAAGGCAGTTAATGTTTTCTAGGAACTAATAATATAGTTGGGAATACCAGATCCTGCAGCTTTATTAGGGCAGTTGTAGAAAAACATACATATGACATCTAATTTAATCTTCTCTTTTACAATCAAGCTAACTGAGGCCAAGAAAGAAAAGAAAATTGTTTTCCTAAGACCTTATAGTAAGCTAATAGAAAAGTCATGTCTGGAGCACAGTTCTCTGATACTTTGTTGGATAACAATTTCTTCTGAAACTGACTATATTCACTAGATCTAAAGACTGCTTAGAAACACTCTCAGACAAGTGAAGGCATCTAAAAGAACAAGACACAAGCTGAGCTGGCTGGAAAATTCTCAGGCCAATTGAAGTTGCTGGACCGGACACTATCCAACTTGTTGAGTTACCTGTAAGCTAAGTAGTGCTACAAGTTTCCAGCTTTTGTGAACTGTCATCCATGCTAGGATGAGCTTTTGGTGATGCCTCTTTGTAAGTAACTCCCACAAAACTCATTAGCTCACCATGTTAGACTTGGGTGATATCCATACTTCAGCCTGTTGTCAGTTTCCTATATGAGGTCAGTAGATTCATGTCTCCCTGGAATAGTTGCACACAACACTTCTACTGCTGTATTTTTTAGGCAAAGCTAGAGAAAAAAGTTCATATTTAAGTAACAAATACAGTTCACTACTTCAATTTTCTGATTTAGTATTTTGGTCATCAACAAATAAGAACTACATATGTAAATAAAGTGAAGTTTAACCATCATGTAAATATACTTTTCAGGGTAAAAAGTATCAACTATCAGTAGTTCATTAAATTTCAACTAGTAAACGAGTATCAAATGAATGTTATAGCAAGGTTTCCCAGTTTGCTGAGTCAGTGCAGCTGTCAAATCATACAAATGAGGTACTTCATTGGAGAATATTTGAACAGGGTAAATTTGCAAAGTGACTCACTGTGGTATGGGTATAAGGAAGCCACAAGGAATAGATGAAGAAATCAAAGCAAGTAGATGACAGATTATGTAAAACATAGTTTCAAATGAGGTATCTTTAGTTGAGGGAAAGAAGGAACCTATGGAGATGTGAGAGCCCCATAATTGTAAGCCTAAATTTACCTTTCTTTATGTGACTTTTTAGCCAGGGTGGATAAACTAAGTTGAATTCTCCAGAATTCTCCAGAGCGAAAAATAAGAAAAAATGTAACTGGTCCTGTGTATAGTGGTGTATGTGCGTAAAGTAATCTCAGCATTTGGGAGGTGTGAGCAGGAAGATCAGAAGTTGTATATATGGCCTGTGATATAGATGACCCATTCTCAAAAACTGTATTCAGGATGCTAAATGAGAAATATTGGGGGCTGAACCTCATAGCTGCACAGTTCAATGTGCATTAGAAGCTGTGATCTACAGAAATGTGATAATATATATTTACATATTCTCTTCATGAAGATTATATGGGAATGCCAGGTGGTGGTGGCATACACCTTTAATCCC